CATAATTCGTTATAACGTTAACGAAGATTCTTATAACGAAGTCCTGATCGGCTGGATCAGCAACTTCGTTATATCGAAGTGTGACTGTACATAAATTATTTTATTAGAATTATTTATTAATGAGTTTTAATATATCATTTTTGTATAAATTTACATAAAATCAATTGGCAAGTACTTTTTAAGGTCAATCAGTTTTCATGATGATAAATTAGCAAGCAATTATTCAAGATAAGAATATTTTGTTTTATCAGCAGATGCAATTAAAATATTCTTCTTATGAATTTTAATTATTTTGACTTTATTAATAGATTATATAAGTAATTATAATGCATAATTCTCAGCAGTAATATTGCGTTGATATTAAAAAAATCTAACATAATCTAAAATAGCAAAAATAAACTTATCAAATGCATTAAGAAACTAGTTAAAATTCATTATCTATAAAAATATAATATATGAAGCTAAAATTTAATAATGTAAGTTTAATTCATTTGTATTAAATAAATTTTGTGATTACTTATATAATTTTAGGTTTGTACAGCTAAAAAATTTAAGAAAAAGTTTAAATATGTAATAACTGCATTTTTCAAACTTCTTGTAATTACATATATCAATATATTAAATTGCTTCAGTTAAACTTATAATAAATTATTTTCTTTACACATTTACGTAAGATTAGGTAAACTATCCTCTATTATTATTATAAATCCATTCAACAAGATTATCATACAATATTTGCTTATAATTCATCTTATCTGATTTTGAGAAAGTTAGTAGGTATAACTAAAATTTATATGTATTTTGCATTAAGAATGTGAAATCATCTTATTATAGCATAAAAGCAGATATTATATTATTAGATTTGAACTAATAATGAATTTGTATTTTTACATTTATTGTAAGCTTTATAATACTACAATTAAGGTTAATTTAAGATACAATAGAAGTTAGAGTTTCATATATCTCAACATGTTCAATTTCTTCAGAACTTGCTATATTAATATTGCATTCAGGAAATAGCTTTTTATTAATAAATTTTGTAAAAAAAAAATCTTTTATTGATAATTCATTGGAAATCAAATAAATGTACTATTTATGAAATATGCAAGATTTTTAGAAAATATGAATATTTGCAAATGGTATGATAAAATAAAGGTTTTGAGAAAATTTTCTTAACGTATTTTTATCTTTTCTATTAATTAATACATTTTCATTTTTTCTATTAATACATATATATCATTTAGTTATAAATCGAATTTGATTTATTAGGGTACAGTTAAAAATGAAAAGTTAAATGATTATTTAATTTCTAATATAGTATATATAAAATATATATTGCTTTATATTTTCAATTCTTAATTTCAAATCTTAAAACTTTTTTATTCTATATCAAAAATAATCTTTTATATATTAATAAATATATATACAAACAAATTTTTACACCAAGAAATTTTTAAGCTACTTGCGTCATGAAATCAAAATAATTCATTATATAATTAAAATATAGAAATACTTATTTAATCAATTTAGTACAATACAAAAATTTTTATTATAAAATTATCAAATACATGATATAATAAACATAAAATTCTATTGGTTAAAAATTTTTTGTTTATAAAAATAAAAAGCTGTATGACTGAGCTAAATAAAGTAAAATTTTGATATGAAAACTAATTTTTTAACTTTGTGTCACCTAAGAGTAACAAGTGATGATTATTATATTTAAAAAAAAAACTTTTAATCTTATTTTTATAAGTCTTTAAGGATTTAGTTAAACTTAAATGATCTACAATTAATTAAATAACAATCTTTAAGTTGTAAGATTTCTTAATAGGTTTAATGATAGATAAAGATCTAAGTTTTATATATTGAGAGACTGGTTATATGATTATTTTAAATTTTAAATGAATTTTAATTTAATTGCTATTTTAAAGTATTTATAAATAACAGATAAATGGAAAATAAGCTTATTTAATAATTAATAAATGAAAATAAAATATATTAACAATTTATATAAATAGTATTTGATTGCAGTTTTCTTATTACAATTATTCATTATTACTTTGTTATACAAGATGCTATACATTAAATATATAATCTTTTTGTATTTTTACTATCATATTCAAATTAGTTTGCAACTTGATATCATATTTATTATTTTTAATTATGCATCTTTGGGTTTGCTATGATATATAATCCTATCAAAGCAAATTATTATATTATAACACATTAATTTAGATCATAAGTAACTTGCCAAGCATCTCGCACTTAACCTTCAGCATTTTTCAACACCCTTAAGTATCTATTTCTGTTTCTGACAAAGAATTTAAAGAACATGATTTAGAGCAAGAAGTTTTACTATATCGCAAGAAACTCCTCCATAATAGCAATTTAGCTATTCTTAGATAACATTTTTTACTACTTTCACAATTGCTTATAACTTTCTGCGTGGGCGAAATGGACAAATTTGGCATTCTTGCTTATTTAGTATTCGCGTGATTATAATTATTGTTCACTGCGGGCTCTGTTCGCGTGACGGCAGGCCTTTTCGTGATATCTATAAAGTTCCAGCTTTTATTGTTACATACAGTAGGTATATGCAAATATTTTCTTACAATATATAAAATTCAATTACATTATAAAAGAGATTGTTTTTCATAAAAAATATATGATCTTTTTTATTTTAACGATTTTTGAAAATTGAATAATATAAAATTTAATATATAAAAATATAACGAATGTCTCATATTACTACATAAGAACTAATTTATGAACAACACGTAAAAAATCAAGCTAATCAAAAAACACGATATTCTTGTTTTTGTTCTTTTTGACGATTTAAAAGATTATCTAAACTTTCCTTGACTTCTTTGCATCCATTACCTAAGGCCGTCTTATACCAATAGATAGCATCTTCCATACCCTCTTCTGTTGATTCATATAAACACGCGAGACATTTTTGAGATCTCACATGACCTGCTATAGCAGCAACTCGGTAGCAATCCAATGCCTTTGCCTTATCAACATCAACTACAATGCCTTGATCATAATAATTTCCAACCTTACAAAAAGCCTTTAAATGTCCTTGAAGAGATGATTGTTTATAAAACTCAAATGACCTAACAAAGTTTTTACAAACAACCTTTCCTCTTTCATAGAATTTACCTAATTTATACAATGCAACTTTATTGTTGTCATCCGCAGCTTTATGATACCAATAGGTGACTTTATCTAAATCACTGCCGTATGATAACTGGAGAAGATCATGTTTATTCCAATCCTTTATACCGGATGCTTCAATAAATAATTTCAATCCTTTTTTTCTATTAACAAATGTCCCAATTCCATATACATGGCAATAACCGAGTTGAAATTTTGCGCTTATATACCCTTGTTTGGCAGATTTTTTATAATACTCAAATGCTTTGGTTGCATTTCTTGTAACGCCACGTCCCAACTCGTAACATTCCCCTAGATTATACAGTCCAACTTCATCGCCACTTTCCGCTGCTTTTTGGTTCCAATAATAGGTCATTTGTAAATCCTTTTCTATACCTTCGCCTCTTTCATATAAACAACCGAGATTAACTTGTGCGGTATCGTAACCTTTTTCTGCCGCTCGTTTACACCAATAAAAACCCTTTTTAAAGTTCTTTTCTGTACCCTTACCATGTTGATAACATGTGGATAAGTTATACATTGCCGCTACATATCCATTATCTGCGGCTTGTCTGTACAACTCGAACGCTTTTCTTTGATCCTTTTCTGTTCCTTCGCCTCTTTCATATAACTTACCAAGATTATTTTTCCCTATTCCATGTCCACGTTCAGCGGCTTTTTGATACCAATAAAAGGCCTTTGCCAAATCCTTTTCCGTTCCTTCACCTTTTTCATATAAGCAACCAAGGTTATTCTGTGCGTACTCAAATCCATTTTCCGCAGCCTTGCTATACCAATGGAAGGCCTTTTCTAAATTCTTTTCCGTCCCTCGACCTCTTTGATATGAATAACCGATGTTATTTTGTGCAAATGAATATCCATTTTCTTCTGCTCGAGAGAACCAATAAAAGGCCTTTTCTAAATTCTTATCGGTTCCTTCCCCCTTTCTATATAAATGTGCCAGTTTATATTGTGCGAATTTATCTTCATTCTCTGCTAGAATTTCGTATCGTTGAAATGTAGCTTCAAAATCCATTGGAAAATTTTCATAAGTCATAATGATATTAAGTATAAAGTGGGATTATTAAGTTTCAAATCGTCAAGTTTTTCCGTTTAAATATATGTCTTACGGATCGACAAAATTTTATTGTTTTACCGGATTGGAGAAAATCATTACCTTTAATGGACCAGCAGATTTTTTTTTAATAACAACAAAAGAAGTAATTCATTATTGCACAATTCAAAAAAACTTGACAATGACTTGATTTTATTTACATAATGACTACAATACATATTAAATTACAGGTGTCAATGAAATGGGAGTAACTATATTGGCCTTCCGACAGATATGGGCACCAATATATTTTTTTATCACGATGATTTATTAATTGCCCTTTAAGGAGAGGATAAGTTGGCACCCCTCCACCTTTCATAAGAACGACCATTGATATTCTTACTAGCTTTTTCATACCATTCAGCTGCCATTTTCGAATCTTCTTGGACACCAATTCCTTTTGCGTAACAATAACCAACTTCCAGTTGTCCTGCTATAAAATCTTCATTAGCTACCTTTTCAAAAGATTTGAAAGCTAACATTTCGTTTTTAACCGTTCCAATTCCGTGAAGATGACATATTCCAACATAATGTCCTGCTAATATGTGACCTTGTTCCGAAGCATCAGAAAATAAGTTAAATGCTTTATCATGATCTTCGTCTGTTTCGATTCCTAAACAGTTAAAATATCCCAATAAAAAAACATTGTTCATGTTGTTTTGATTATTTAAAACTGTGGTATAAATTTTTTTCGAATTAATGTTATTAAAATTAAAATGGTTTATCAAAGCATTCTTTTGTTCATCCCCAAATGTTACTTCGTTTGTCATTTTACTGATAACGTCTATCGTTTCACCAATTAACGTCACCAAACTCTTTCGATAAAAAAGGTTTAAGAAGCTTTTGAAGGATTTTTTTCTTGATTTTTTTCTTCTGGGTGACGTGTTATTACTTGACTCATTATTTGAATCCGGTTGTCCATCTGATCCTATTGTTGCATATTCGGCTGATCTTCTCGTTACAATATTCTGAACGGGTTGAGATGAATGTTCCTGCGATATGATATTATCCGGATCCCGATGCTCATTTGATCCTATCGTTGCAAGTTCAGTTGACTCTTCTGTAAAAGTCTGATCGGATTTTGATAGATCTTCTTGCAATGCGTCATCATTAATATTAATCGAATCTTGTTGCCTATCTGATTCTATTGTTACATATTCAGTCGACTTTTCCGTGTCATAACTCTGAATGGATTGAGATAAATTTCGTGATGTATCATTACTGAAAGATGCGACAAATTCATCTGTATCCATCTCACCAAAACCTTGTATTATCCGGGATAATTTACCATGTAATGAATCGACATTACTAACACTTGAAGCATAAGAATCAGTTGGCTGTTCCAAAGACTCTTCAGGTTCACTTGTAGAAGAATACATCTTATAAAAGTACTGCAACATAAAAAATAACTTGTCAGAAATAACGCCGAAATTAAAATTAAGACCTGGATCATTAATTTGATGATTTGCAGTCTTCACGATCTCTTTCAATCTCGTTAC